CCTCCCCCACCCCCCTCAGCCGTTGGATCTACAATTTCCGAGAATACGCGTCCACTCAACGACAGCCGATGAGGGACACTCCGATCTATAATCCGACGGCTATTATTCCACAAGCTAAAACGACAGGAGAAAGAAACTGCGGACGTGTCCTAATCAACGGGGGCAAATTGCGTTCCATGAAGTTAAAGATCATCATCAAACCCCAAACCCAAGTTGCAATTATACCCAAAAAAAGATAATAATAATAAAATAAAATATCTTCTCTCAATAATTTTTACTTAGTCTCGTCTAGTAATTATTAAAATTATAAATTTAGATATCAAATTTTAAATTTCTTCAATTTTATCGATCCAATTCTAAGTTGAACCATATTTTGAAAAAAAATTTAACTTCTTTTTTATTTAAGAACAAAAAAAAAAAAAAAAAAGAGCAGAAACTCAGTGGGTAGAAAGCCATGTAATATAAAAGCCCAAATCAAAGGCCCAACGTTAAAATTACATGGGATTTTGAATCCCATGGCCGGGAAGATCGGCTGAGATCTAAGCGATCAATCAGATCAAAATAAAAGAAAAAAAGAAAAAAAAGAAGAAACAGGACTGGTATTGAAGAAGAGAGAGAGAGACGAGGAAGAATTAACGAGCGGTACCTAAGAATACGCTGAGAAGGAGCAGGCGGCGGCGGCGGTAGAGTTGGCGGTTGAGGAGAAATCGGCCGTTGACGAAGATTCAAGTGCCCATTACTGTGGTTAGAGTTATGAATGGGACTCGGCTGGTGGTTCTGTCTTATAATCGAGTCTCTATCGGCTCTAACGACCCGCCGATCGACTCGGACAGTGGTTTTGTGAACCGGTGCGGCGGCGGCGGAAACGTCCCTGGCCTTGACCTGGACTTTCATACACCGGAGACGCTTCCCGTTTCCCCATTGTAAGACGAACTCTGATGGTGTGGGTTGTGGCCTGGTCGCAACGGCGGCGGCAGCGGCCTCAGATCTCGCTCGCAACAACAGCGAACTATCCACGGCCGTTCTATCCCTACCATTGAGATTATTACTAACGAAACTGCCATGGCTATTGATTCTGAGATGATCCTTCTCCATATGCTTTTTTTTTTTATAATATATATTATTGTACACCACCTGTGTCCCATTTCAAAGAGGGGTTAGTCCGAAGAAAAATTACCCAAAAGATTCTAAATAATTAAAAGTGGCAAAGAGAAAACAAAGGGGAAATAGATAAAAAGCAGACTCTGCAGCCAATTGGATTAGGATGACAATCTCTGCAGTTTCGACGAAAATGGACAAAGCGAAGAGCCTTGGGGAAAAGAAAAATTCGATCAAGCTCGAGGATATGGCGTTCTCGACATTGACGCTGCAAAAACCTTACTCGAGAAGAGCATCAAAATCAGTCAGGGTTTTCTCGATTGAGTTTGAAAGATCCGAAAACGAAATCGACAAAAATCGAAAGTCCAAATCGCTCTGAAGAGAAGTATTTTGGGGGAAGACGAAGAAAAACTGAGGCGTTGGGTTAAGAAATGTGCCGCCTGAAATTAAGAGGAAAGTTGAGGGAAAATCTTGAAAACGTAAGGAACTCAAAGAAGGAAGAAGGATTTCCCATGGAAACAAGTAGTGAGAGAATTAGAAAGGGGATCCAGATTTCCAACGCCTCACAGAGAGAAACAGAAGATCCTCCCATGGAAGCAGCAACTCGAATTTTCAAATTTCGAAAGCTAATTATCAGACCCTAAGAATCCAATCAGAGGAAGAAGGCGATTTCTATTCGATGCTGCAGGTAGAAATGAACAGGAAGAAAATCAGACCTGAAATTTCGGACGGAAACAATCAGAACAGAAGGAACAGAGGCTGCAAAATCCACCTAGATGATGAATAAACAATTAGTACCAGAAATTTCTGATCTGGATTCCCCTCCCCCCCAAGAATCAGCTCTCACGAAGAACAGAAATCTGCTTCTTTCACCGCAGAAAACAAGCAAAATGTAAATCTAAATCCCAGGCTCCAATAATCGATTGCATTTTTGTCACTCCAATTCTTCTTCCACTTTCAAAGAAGGTTACAATCTCTCAGAAGACCCTTACCGAACCACTGAAATCGCTTGGATATTAACTGCACAACGAAAAATTCAAGAGTTAGAAACTAACTTCAGAAGATAAGATAAGATCAAACATATAACGAACATCGAAGACCTTAAAACACTGATTTCAATTTTCAAACCTCCAAAACTCGAAGTCTTCCCCCCTCGCGCCTCTCCGGAAATCAACTCCGAGTTAAGAAAAAAGAATTACAGAATCGGCCAACGAAACAAAGCTCAGATTCAAATTTCCCTCTTCGATTATCATCAAGTCTCTGTAAACAATTTCAATGCCTCAAAACTCGTCAAAGAACCGAGCATCTTAGATCGATTAACCAACCAAAACGAAGAAAACCTCAAGCTCTTGGATGATTTTGAAAGCTTCAAATGAAGGAAAATTTACAGACAAATCAAAAGGAAGGAATCAAGAGAGAGAAAAAGAGAGAGTTAGAAGGGAAGTTTAACAGGAGTACTGCAGAGAGGTCCTTCCTCGATGATACAACGAAATGGCCTCTCACCCCTTCAAGTCCCAGTTTTTATACGCTCTTCCAACTCCCACATCGCTTAAAACCGTTCACGCCGATGCATCTCTGGCCGTCCATCAACCCATCGTGCGGCTCTGATTCATCCTCTGCTTTTCCGTCAACTGGTAATCCCGCTTTCTCCAATCGACGTTACATTCCTCCACCCCCGTTAACCAATTTGACGGAATCTTTAACGCTGTCCAGTTCCGCAATAAAAGAAAAAACAAATAAATAAAATAATCATTTCTTTTATTTTTATTAGTGCTTTTAAAAAATATATTGTATTTTAAGTTTGCTTCTGTGGAACCGATGTGATGGAGCAGCTTAGATAGAACCGGGAAGCAACTTAACTATGGTTGGTTAGAGTAACCATGGTTAGCACTGCTTTCGTATTGTCCGGTCAATATCCAAACCGATAATACGAGCGACGCTCTGGGCATTATTGAAGTATCGGTGAAATAAATTTAAAAAATAATTATTAATTTAGTTTCTTAATATTCACAAATTTTATAAAATTCAAATTTAAATCAATATATACATTGAAGGTATTGTTGGACTTTTAATTAATTGATTAATATGTGAATTTTTTTTGGTAATATAGGTATGGATAAACTTTTATTTTGATAAATATATAATTGGAAATAAATGATTCTTGACCAATAATTTGATTATATCCATTTTCTTGGAAAACGTTTCAGGAGAGTCGTAATGTTTGAAATCACCACAAAATAATTATTAAATGCGATTCCATTAATTCATTCAAATTTTCTTCAAATTTCCAAAACCACCCCTACCATTGATTTTGTCTCTACATTATTTTCCAATAAAACTTCAATAGAAAGTGAAATCAAGGACTTTATTCAAAATTTAAAAACTAAGTTTTTATAAATGGAAAATATATATATATATATATATACACAAAGACAAAAATTAAAAGGGTTAAAGTGAATTTTTTTTAATCATGGAGGGGCAGTTTTTCCACGTTTTTTATTTGTTTGTTAATATTGATGTGAATTTATTTGAACTAAAATACCAAAATTGTGATAGCCATTTTATGCTTATCATTTCTCACTCCTCCCCCACTAAATACTACAAAAATCACATTAAACTTACCAATATACCCCCATAAAAAGCATATCCGTTTTATAATAATACAAGCTCACACCACTGGTAGATATATTATCCGTTTTAATTCTTTACGTATCCTTGTCAATTTCATAGTTTTAAAATGCATCTATTAAAGTTCGATTTCTATACCCTATAAGGAATGTTTTGTTTCTATCTTATATTGATTGTACTAAAAAAAACATTTAGAAAAATATGTAAAAGGTCTGTTCGAGTAAAATTATGTCAAGGAGAAAAAAATAAAAAGTGAAAACTATAATTATTAAGAAAAATTGATGACTAGAAAAATGTAATAGGCCTAAATCAAAGCATAGAATAAGGTTATTACATAAATTGACAACAAACTAAGATTTGTTTTTGCAATAAAAATGGAAAACAAAGGAAGATTTAGAATATTAGGATGGAAAAATCAAATTATGAGAATATAAAAAATAATGGTTTAGAAATTGAAAAGTTTCAGTGACATTATCTTGAATTAACCTTTTCCAGATTTTAAGGTTTTTTTTTTTTTTTTTACATAAATAATTAAATTATACATCTTAAATTTATAGACCTTGATATGTAAATATATTATATAGTCCATCTCTTCATGCTCCACTAAAAAAATATCCTAACGTCCTACTGTTACATTTTGAATTCAAATATGATTTGATTCATATGGTTGGGCAACTAGTTTAATTTCTTCCAGCCTTATCATTCCAATAAACTATTAAATCATTACATATATCTCATAATCCATTTTTTCCTTCCAGTAGGAAAATTAAAATTTTAATAAATTAGGTAAGGAGTTTAAAGTATTTTTAGACTATTAATCTCCAGATAAAATCAACATTACCTATACCATATGAAAAAACCGACCACACGAGCCAAAAAAAAAAAAGGTGAATATAATAAGCATTACGACTTAATATTACCCACTAGTAAACAAATGTTTTAAAAGATATAAAAACTTGATAAATTGATAACATTAATTTCTCCAATAAGGCTGAAATTTGATGAAGTTGAAGTTAGATGCTAATAAAATAAATACGATAATAGAAAAAGAAAGAAAGAAAGCGTGCAAAGTGGCAATAATACAAGGTTGTGGATCCAGGTTGGTGGTGGCTTCCTTTTGTGAATGGGCGCACAGTATATCCCAATCCCAACATCTGGACTTTCTCTTCCCCCACTAGATTGTAATACCAAAACATTAAAAATATTCAACTATACCACAAACTCAAATTCCATCGCCCACTCCAAACTATACAAACTTTTTCTTAAACTATTTTGATCCCTTCATTTTCCAACTATAGACCAAAATGAAAGAAAGTAAAGGAGTATTTAAACGAAATAGTACTAATAAAAAGATGTGGGGCTGCCCTTCAACCTTATCTCATCTATATTGCCCACTCTTCTGCCTTTTTTTTCTCACCAACATTTCAATCATGCACTTTTGGTCTCTAACTTTGCTTCTTATGGAGGTTGGGATTTTGTATTCATGTGAAAATATTATATCATACAATGCTAATGCACATCATAACTCTACATATATTTGTAATTTAGCTTATTCTTGCCAATAAGACAGTGATTGTTGATGACCACAAGTAAACAGATACAAGACAGTGATTGTTGATGACCATAAGTAAAAACTACTTGTTCAGTTACTTAGTTCAATTATTTCTTTCCTTACATGACGGTTTGCAGATGTATTTACAAATAACTTGTCGTCCCAGATCCATTTAAACATAGATGATATAAACAATGGTGGGAGAAACGTACTTTCAAATCGGATGAGTGGATTGACTTCACCATCATGCAGTGAAGCCCTTGTGCAGAGAGCTCCATGGGCCCGAGGGGATGCGTACGCAAGCTTGCGCCGATGCCTCTGCCATCTGCTCCTTGCTGATTCCAGCATTGCATAGGTTTGCAAAGGACCTCATGTGTTTCATTCCGTACTGGGAGAGAGATCCACACCGTGCCTCAAAGCTCCTAACCTGTATGTATCAAACCATTTCAGAATAACAGAACTTAAACTCAATTAAAACATAACTAAATATTATTGATGGCTTGAATGAAACGGCCATGCTGTCTTTGTCATTAGGAATCAAGAAAGAAACAGGAAATAAGAGTACACAATTATATCGACATTATACCATATTCTTGAGACAATCCCAATCATCGACAAGGGGATGTCCTGCGGGACGGATGGCATTAAGCACCTCAGGACCTTTTTCAATTCCAAATAACAGCTTTCCAATTAGCTTCACACTTTTATCGATATGAACTCTATGGGACATTGCTTCCACAAACTTCTTCTGAGCTTCGATTTTCCTGTTGGAGCCTTCTGGAGCTTTGCTAAACTAAAATCAACAACAAGCACGGAGGGGGAGTGAAGGTTGTTAGATGATGTCGAAACCAAAATTGGAAGCAAGAAAAACCCCAATATTAACCAGAAAATATTAAAATGCCAATATTAGAGAGGTGATATGCGGTGTAGCATTTGAAGTGCCATTGAAGTCTCAAGATTTGAACTTATTACAGATGGCAAATAGCAAAAACCACCTAAACTGCGTACTCATCATCATTCAAACACCAGGAAAAAGTGGAGTTTGGGGCTAAAGATCACTTCATAAGTTAAAAGCACAGTTGATAAGTCGACAGTTTACAAGAGAAAAGAAGAATTTGGTAATCCTCAGAATATATCTTTTTTTATAATATACCAAATAGCGTTCAAATATTGTCAATTTGAAAATGGAAAAAGAAGAAACTAACCTTTTCCCAAAAGTGGACCAGATCAGCGTCACGCTGATTGGTAACTTTTGTGGTTGGCCTCAAAGAGTTCTCCTCGACAAAAGTGTTGTTCTCATTAGCGGGATCTGTACCCAGAAATGAGAACAAAATGTTCTTGTTCAGCGTTAGCTCACCATATTGCATGACGTGGGAACCAAACGCATCATCATCATTTAGCGTCCTTTTCTTCACCTGAAGAGACCAGCAGTTTAAATCATATCAAACAAGGAGAAAAGAAATACAATTGAGGTTCTTTTCAACGTCGAGCATAAAGGGAAAATTTTTCATTTTGATAAATAGACACTAAAATGCCTTCAGACTTAAATGTACAATTAGTACATTTTCGAAAGGATGAAAATCTCTAGAAGAAAAATTTTCATTCCTAAGATCCAAATTTAAACTCGTAGGACTTAGATTTCTCCCAAAATAGTGGTCGGGTTCTTACCAATTCATATTGCTGGCGCAAAGTTTCCGTCTTCAAATTGTGATTATCACTGTATGCAGCACCAAAGTAAGAACCATGAGGTTCTGAATAAAATAAATCAAATCCTACCTAAATTATTCAGAATCAACTAAATAAATAAAATTATCTGAACAGTTTATGCTTTATGCTTGTGGGTTTGGATCCCTTATTTGAACAGCAATAGTCTGCTTTGGATCTAATAACTTTATGAGATTCATTCGTCCGCCAGACAGAACACTAGACACCAGAAGTACAGAAGTGCAGTACATATAACGAGAACTGAGAAATGAGAACAAATGCCCAAAACTGAAGGGGCAGAACAAAAAGAATATTACCTTTCGGTATTAATATCATTTCTTTTACTAATAAATTATGGGGGGAAACTTGAAGAACAAAGTATGCTAGCAACAGAGACAAATTTATTATTATCTTTTACCTGTCTTCCAACCAAGCAACACTATACAAGTCACCCAAGCAAGTATCATACTCTGGTGGAGGACTAGGATCATCCCCTGGACAGTAAGTACCCCAACTGCTCTCATAAGCATTTGATGCGGTGGTTGTATAAATGTTCAAACCTTTGTCAAGAAGGCCTTCAAAGATACTTCCTGATTCACAAGCTTCGAGATA